TGACACAGAGCTGGCCCGTGGGGTGAACGCCGAGGCAGACGGGCCATCGGGGGGTGCATCTGCGGGGAAAGTGCAGCCCCCCCGGTGGAACGCACAGCACCCACACCTGCTCTCGGTCCTACGGCCAGGGAGACGCTAGGACACCACCACGGGCCCGTTTCTCATCTGTCACTGCTGGACCCATGGTGCACCTCACTGTTGTCCAGAACGGTGGGAAATGGCACACCTGGTGCCTCTTAGATTTCCGGCGCAGGTGGTTAAAGTCAAAATGCTCCGCGTCCTCGGGAGCAGCACCTTCTTCCGAGCCAGCGGGGGAGCGTGTGGTCCCCGGGGCTGCACGCGTGTGTGCACGTCCCGCCAAGCCCCCGGGCGTGTCTCGGAGAAACGGCGGGAAGGACGGCGCTTGCCAACCACCTGGCAGGTCCGGGCAAACCGTGGGCCCCACCGGCACAGCCGCCCGCCAGCAAGCAGTGCTGAGGGCACAGCCATTGGACGCAAAGCCGCTTGTCTGAACGCGAGCCCACGGCAGTGGGGCCTCCCCCCTTTTCCCGGTGACCCGCTGCAGCCCGAGAATCCCGCCTTTGCTTGGACAAGGATCTAAACGCAAAGATGAGGGGCTCCGGGGTGGCTCGGGGGTTCAGCCTCTGAGTCTTGATTTCACTTAGGGCATGATCTCAGGGTTGTGGGATCGAGCTCCGTGTGGGGCTCCACGCTCTGCTGGAAATTCTCTCCCCCTCTCTGTGCCCCTCTTCCCGTGCGTGCGTGCTCTCTCTCTCTCTCTGAAACAAATAAATAATTCTTAATAAAATAAAATAAATAAAATGGAAAGGTGATCTCTGACTTCTGAGCCTTCAACACGTGAGCGTTTGCTGCGCAATGACGGTCACCTACCAAAGTCACTCGACACCGGGAGCACCTGCTCACGGCGGGGATAGGAGCGGGAGTGGGGAGTGAGCCTGACACAGTGCCCAGCATCGGTGAGGCCTGGGCTTCACTGGCCTCAGACTTCCCTGAGGACTGGGAGCAGCCACCGGGCGGCTCAGGGCTGTCTGTCCATCCGCCTGCGAGCACCTGCCTGCAGAAAGCCGGGGTCTGGTGAGGGGCCCCGCGGGGAGCCGGCAGCTGGGTGATGGGCACCTGGGCAGTGGGGCTCCTGAGCCCGTCCGGAGCCAGTGCCTTTCCTGCCGCTCCGGTGGGCTTCACCCTTCTAAGGCAGGGGTGGGGTCCTCCTATGCTGAGGTCACCAGCATCAGGCCACGCGGCCTCTGCCCTGGGAGGCCAGGACGACACCCACAGCTTCTGGGCGCCAAGGCCAGCGGCTCCACGGGCAATGTGACTTGAGTTTCAGGTTCTGGGCACGGTGGGGACTCTGGGGGGCCCGCCGGCCGTGAAGGCAGCACAGTGGCTCACTGTTTCTCCTGCTCACCACTCACAAAGGGCTTGATGGAGGGCGGGTTCTGGGATCTGGCTCCCGGGGGAGCTCTGGGCACAGACAGCCTCACACAGACACACGGGGATCCCTGCACGGGAGCTCCAGGCAAGCTGGGGGGAGGTGCCCACCCCAAAGACTGGCTCAGGAGGGAGGGCCTAGCAGGTTCCTGCAAATCTGAGGAGACAGAGGAGGCCTCCAAACCTGTCCTACTGGTTTCTCACCAGTACTTGGCCCACAGAGCCAGTGGGAGAAGGGGGAAGGGAGGGCTGAGTGGGTTTCTGTTCCTGGGGAAGCCATCAGTAGTGAGGGCCTGAGCCAGAGGCCAGCCACCTCACACGCCGGTGCCCAACACACACACACGCACACACACGTGCACACACGCATGCACACACACACACACACATGTGCACACTCAGGGCTACTGCATGAGCAGTGGGGAGTAAGGACTCCCCTCCCTGCTGCCTGTGGGGACGGCTGCTTCCTCCCTGTTCCCTCCTCAACCCAGGGGGCAGCTGCTCTCACTGGGAGAAGTCCCAGCGTCCCAGGCAGCAGGGTCGGGGAGATGAACTGAGAGGGGCCAGAGCGGGAGGGAGTCCTGGGCAGGAGGGCTGACCTCTGATAGGTGACACCAGGAAGGCCCAGGACTCTCTCCAGCCCCCCTGCTGGTCTCTGCCCTGCCTGGCTCTGCTCTCTGTTCTCATTGGCTCCGGGGGACCTTTCTCAGCCAATCTGGGTCCCCCCGCACCGACTCAGGCGTGGTCCTTCTGTGCCCCTCAGGAGGCAGCCTTTCTTTGCCTTCCTCACAGTCAGTGCGGGGGGACACGGACACCCCATGGGCTGATGTAGGGCCTATGTATGCTTCATATGATGTGTCTTCCTGTGTATGCTTCGTACTTAGCCCCAGGGCTCAGCAGTGGGGCACCAAGCAAGTGACAGTCTCCTAGCCTCAGACTCATCCCTGATGGACACCTTCATCCCAACGTACAGGGAGCCCAGCTAGAGGTGTGGCCCCATGAGGAGACACCCTTGGATGTGAGGGTCTAGCTCCCTCCCACTGCTTCCAAAGAGCCGAGCCGGACTCTTGCAGAGGAAGAAGGGGACTTCATCCAGCTGGATTAGGTTCTCGTGACACCTGCCGTGCTATCCCCCTTTCCCAGCCCTGAGTTCAACTCTCAGACACCCTGTGTTGGTCACTGGGGAGCAGCGGTCCCTGATGAGGCCGTGCAGTGGACCGGGCACTCACCTGCTGAGGCAGGAGGCCAGGTGTGGAGGAGGAGGGAGTCATTTCCACATGGATTCATGCTCTGAGAAGAGAACACATCCATCAGAGACAAAGCAGGGTCCAAAATGGCAGGCTGAGGGTGGGGAGGTACTCACCAGAGTTGCGGCTGCCTCCCCAGTTACTGGGTGGCCTTGGGCACAGGCCTGTCCCTCCCGAGACTCCTTCTGTCCATGGGGAGAGGGAGTGACAATCATTCTCCCCTTCCAGTCCCATGAGGACACTCGCTAGATGCTCTTTCGAAATACGAGTCTCTGCTCGTTGTGGAACGGCGTTGTCGGGGCTGATGTCTGAGAGCCAACTAATGTCTGGGCCTCGGACTGTTTGATGTGACTAAAACCTGCAGGCAGACGAGTCTAGTTTATCAGTCCCATCGAGAAAGGTGTAATAACAAAATTGTGACTGAGGTCCTCCTCTTCCCGAGTGTTGGTTCACATCAAACACAAACCAGTTTGTTCCTGGAGATGAGGTTTATCCTAGAATAATAATGCCTTCCATTGATCAAAGCTGCTTTCATCTTTGATCTCGAGTGCCCTGATCATATATGGTGGGCACATTACCCTATTTTATAGATGAAGATATTAAGACCCAAGTTAAGTTTCCAAATCTGCCACGGAGCTAGAACCAAGAGCTTTCGTCTCCTGCTAGCATCTGGAAAGTTCTTCCTTGTTTACGATGCATCCTCTGACACGAAGGGAAACTAACAAAATGCTAAGCATCTTGGACTTTTAATCACAGTCTTCCTAATAAGGTAAGAAGAAGATGTAAAATACAGATTTATATCTTCAAATATCCTTAAGAGCAGGTCCTCTCTGTCAGGAGCCCCACCCGTCCCAGGTCACGTGCGAGGCAGGAGCGTCCCAGGGAGACCACGTTCTCCACCCGACACCGCTGGCGGTTTCACTGAGAACCGGATTGCTCAATGTTTACTGAGGTCTCCGTGCTGTTCCCGCACAGAGATGAAATAGCAATCCTCCATCAAGACATCGTTGTAAAAGAAGTTAGACGGATGGAACATTGCCCTTTGTGTCTCTCTCTCCATCTGGGTCCCCTGGCTCGGGAGTGGGCTGAGGAGGCCGATGTGCCCCGCCGAGGGAGGTGTTTGTCTGGCTGTTCTCTAGGGGAAGGACAGACTCCGTCTGTCTGAGGGGCTGAGCCAGAGAGAGCTGAAATTTATACAGCTCCTCGGGAGAGTGAAGGAGCCCATTCCATAGATAGAGGCACAGGTGGTTGGAAGTCCTGGGATATGTAGGGACCAAGAGGAGATGTGCTTGAGAAAGACACCCCAGGGATTCCAGTGCCAACGTCCCCTCAGAGCCTCGGGTCTCACTTGCTAAGGACTTGGGAATAGTCCCTGCGGGTTGAGCTCTTGGTCTACAGTCTGCTTCTCAGAGCAGTGGGCAGAGATGGCTTCCTTCCAGAGATTGCAGAATACTGGGGGCCACACGCTCCCCAGCACCCCCACAGCTCTCGGGCAGGGCCCCACACTCCTTCCCCGTGTCCTCACGAGAAGCTTGACCCTAGCGATGGAGCGGGATCAGAGGAATCACGGAGCCCGAGGAGAGGTATTCTGGGGGGACAAGAAGCTCCTTCCTCCGAAATCACACATGGAACCGTGGTGTCATACACAGCACCACCGGATGCTGGGTTCTGCGTGCGCCCAGGCCCTTCGCTTGCTCGGAGATGCCAGCAGCAGTAGGCCACATCTTCCATCTATAGATCTGGAGGCCACCCTGGGCTGGAAATTTAAGGATGCCCATGGGTCCACCCTGGTAGAATTCCAAGCAATTCTCCTATATCCGCCTCTACTGGCCTGCCCTGTGGGATGAGAGCCTGGCAGCAGCCCAAGAGGAGCACAGAAAGGAACACCAGACAGTCCCCCTCTACTCCAGGACCTGCTGTGGCCACCAAGGGAGGCTCTCTTTCCCTTCCCAGCCATGGTCTCTGTGAGAAGCTTCCAAGGGGGCACCTCGGCTCTCAGGGCCCAGGGAGGCTGGCAGGCCTCCGACGGCCCCCATGCAAGGTCGCTCCAGTGTCTCCAGGGCGGGCCCTGCCACTCCAGTTCCTGCATTTCTGGTCTATCACTGGTCTGTCCCTCCCTGGGAGGAGGATTTCGCCCAAGGACATGGGGAGGGTGGAGAGCATTACCCCTCCCTTGCTCCAATTGCAGAAAAGGAGGGGGCTCCCATCCCACTGAAAGGCTGCCACGGGAGCTCTGCCCTCACACAGACTGGCCTGCCTGTCCTGGTCCCTGGTCCCCAGCTCGGACGTGAGCACTTTGAGCCAGCCAGCAGCCAGGTCGGCAGCTCCGTGACAGGTGTGACTGACATGGCGGAGGAGTTGTCTGCGGAGCAGGTGGCTGAATTCAAAGCAGCTTTCTCCAGATTTGACAAGAATGGGGACGGCACCATCGACACCCAGGAGCTGGGTGCAGTGATGGGGGCCCTGGGCAAGAATCTGTCAGAAGAGGAGCTGAAGGAGCTCATCGCCCGCGTGGACACGGATGGTGACGGCGTCATCAGCTTCCAGGAGTTCCTGGCAGAGATGGCCAAGAGGATGAAATCCTGGGGCAGCGAGCAGGACATACGGGAGGTCTTCCGTGCCTTCGACCTGGACGGCAACGGCCGCATCAGTGTGGACGAGGTCAAGCAGGCCATGGCCAAGCTGGGCCAGACGCTTTCCCAGGAGGAGCTGGACGGCATGATCCAGGAGGCGGACGTGAACAAGGACGGGCAGGTGGATTACGAGGAGTTCCTGCGCATCCTCTCCCGGAAGTGAGGCCCCGCCCCGGCCCGTCTCCTGCTCCTCCTGCCTTCTCGGGGCCTCCGCTTCTGCGGCCGGGACGTCAGGGGGCAGTCTGGGTGGTGGAGGGGAAATTACCTACTCTCTCGGGCCTGGGGCCTGTGCTCTGTGCCCGGCGAGACCTTAGAGCGGCTCCTGTAGAGAAGTGGGGAGCCCCCGCCGCACTACGCTGTCGTGAGGAAACCCAAGGCAATGGCGGTTGAAATAAAAGGAGTGTGAGCTCTGAGGGCGGTGTGTGCCGGTGCTTGAGTGCTTTGTGGGAAGGTAGAAAATCGAAGCCTCCGGACGGTGGTATCTGGGTTTCTTCTGCGCCTCTGCCCCCTTCCCTGGGCCACGGGGGAGAACCAGCCTGGGCGGGCCTGACGGTGCTCCCCCAGCGTCTCCCAGATGCCCGGGGAGGAGAACAGGTGCGGGAGGGGTGTGTCGGGCTGGGAGGGGACACGAGAGGCACGTTTCTTTGCCTTAAGGTTCTGCTTGAGCTTCCGGGTCCGGACTGAGGCTGGAGCTGGAGCCTGGGACTGGGACACTGTCTACGCCACAGACAGTAACGTTAGCATCCTTTGCACGTCGTCGTCCTCTGCTGCCCCAACCGCGCTCGAACGGGGTTTGTGGCCCTGCAGTGCGGCTGCCCAGAATCAGGCCCCTTGGAGGCTGCTGGTCACAGTTTGAGAGGCTCCCTTCCTCTTCCTGGTTCTCAGGGGTGGCTCAACCCAAGGGCGATCTGCCCAGGAGGAAACCGAGGCCCAGGGTGGCATTGGGTTGAAGTCCTGGGCTTGTAGGGGAGGCAGACGAGCCCTAGGCCTCGGGATTCAGAAAGCACACAGGGTTTCCCCGCATCGTCTGCAACCCGTTGTGCGTCCCGGGTGCCGTGCGATGGCGGGCTTTGCTTCCTCCTTCGTGAAATGAGCTTTTCCTTTACTTTTGGCGATGACTTACTTTGCCTTATCCTAGCTGTGCCAAGTCAGTGGTTCTCAGCCCAGGGTGGGGAGACAGAGCCAGCTTCCCTGGGGGGCAGGGGTATTGCAAAACACAGGCTCCCGCCCTTCCCGCCTGCCCCTCATTCCAGCGAGGGCGGGGTGAGTGGCAGAGCCTGCCCAGTGCACCCCAGTGCAGCGGGGACAGGGACAGATCGGGGGTGGTGGTGGGGCGGTGCTGCGGCTCGGATGACATCTTTCTGTTTTCTTTTCTCCCATTGGGCATCATCGTGGGTCATTTCAGTCTCCTGTGACCCTCACATGCTTCTATCTCTTTCCCAGCCCTGTCCTCAGGTCAAGTCCCCAGGTACGGCCAGACCCCCCATCCTGAAGCCCAGCAGGTGTCAGACACAGGATAACCCTGTGTCTAAACAGGGTTGAGGACTGGGAGAGCTGGTGGGCTGGGGAGGCTCTGAGGCAGGAAACCTCAGCTCCCCTAAGGTTCTGAGGGAGGCAGGGGACGGACCGGGGAGCAACATGACAGAGGTGTGGGATCTGGGGGAGGTTCGGACGTGACAATAAGAAGGGGCAAAGGCAGCCACCAGGCCTGGTGTGGTGAGGAAAGGAGTGGCAGAAATACTCCCGGGTCCAGGACAGGGGTGGTTCCCTCCAGAAAGTCCCTGTCCCCTTACGGACATAGGTCACAGAGGTCTGAGTTTCTAAATTAGTGAGTCCTAAATGCCAAGCTGGCCCAAGGTGAAGGCTTCCAGGCTCTGGGTGGAAACAGGAAAAAATAAAGACCTTCCCAACTAGCTTAAGTGTATGCTATGTTTAAAATTCTGAGAATATGCTCATTCTGTATTTTCTGTGTTAAATGTGTTTCCTTCCATGAAGCCACTATGATGGCCGGTGATGGTTCTGTGAGGTTTTTTTTTTTTTTTTCATGTTCTTACTCTGAAAAATGAAGAGTCCTTACAAAGTGCCCCCAGTGAATGTGGGTATTTCACTGTCCCCCGGCCCCAAATGTCTGAGAACTGCTGCTGGAGGCCGTGGAGTGTAAAATCGATTTTCTTTCTTTAAAAAAAAAGATAACCCCCCACAAACATGGGGCTCATGCATGGGAAGAGAAAACTCCCACAGTCAACAGCGGGCGCGTGTTCAGAACTGCTGTTTGCTCGGGACAGGGAGGCGAGGGCCCCGGGGGCCGTCCCTGCTTCGGCGTGACTAGCTTGTCTGTCCTCTGTGTTTTCAGATGTCTACAAAGAGCCCTGCTCAACATTATGCATGCGGCACTAGAAAGACTGGAACTGGTGGAGGGAAGGAGAGATGTGACGCCCTTGGCGGCCCCTGGGGGCTAGGAGGTGGGGCGCCTGAGGTCGCTCCCTCATGAGCTGTTCCTGGGACGAGGGTGTGGGGCCAGAAGGCAGGAACAGAGCAGCAGGAGCGGCTCTCTGTCTCTTGCCCCCCGAGGGCGAACGGGGAATCTGAGGGTCTGGGAAAGGAAGTGACTCACTTCAGGTCTCCACTGAGGGACAGATGTGTGTGGACCTCAAGGATTCAGAGACGGCCCCCTCCAGCAGTGCCTCCTTCCCCCTTTCCCCCCAGAGCTTCTTCCGTCCTGAGACCCTGGCAGCCCCGCCCCAAGGAGGAAGGACTCCTTGGGCATGGGGGGCTCTGCTGGAGAGGCCTGGTCGGGACCCACAGGAGCATCTTCTTTGCAGGTCACGCACGAGGCTGATGACCTTCTCACTACACCCGGCCTCTAGGAGATGCACAGAAACAGCCTCAGCAGCGACTTCCCATCTCCTGGAGGACCTTCGAGGGTGGAATCCAAGTTTGGGAAGCCGCTGGCCCCAATCTAGAGCACTGGGGAGGACGGGAAGGAGTTCGAGAAGTGTCCCCAGAGCCAACACAGCCTGGGGTGACTTCAGGGAGAATCAGTTCCCTGGACATCAGTTTGCCAAGACTGGATCTGCCCCTGGCCTATTTGCTGGTATTTCCCAATTAAAAAAAAAAAAATTTGTTTGTAAAAACACTTTATGAGGATTACAGGGATTCATATTGGATGCGATGGTTTAAGACTCTGGAGTATTTCTGTGGCGTTTTCCTTGCCCGGTTGAGGGTTTGAGCTTCCTGGAGTTGTTGTGGTTTGGTCCATTACCTTTGGTCCATTACCAGGTTCACCTGAACCTCACCCCAGCACCTGACAAAGATGGACGTTCTCTGTGTTCTGTTCTTGGTTTGCTCCTGTGTTCGTTTTCATCCGTTGGGCCCATGACTCGGGGGGAGGAGAATAGCTTCTCTTTAAGACGGAGTAGCTGTGCGGGCCTCCGGCAGCAGGAGTCTACAGACCGGGGACCAGGAGGTCTGTCTTCTCACAGGTTTTCAGTAGAGGCCACTGCTTTGGTTCACAGACGTGGACCCGGTCAGACAGACACTTCGGTGTTTGGTTCTGGGCGGTATTCGGTAAAGGCTCAGCATCTGAAATAGTTTTCAGCCACGGACCGGACACTTAGCAGAGCAGAACCCAACTGAAAAGTCTACTGTGGGGAAAGAGTTAGGGGAAAGCAAAACTAGTCTGTGCTGAAGCAAAATCCTCCCCAGACCCTTCAAGACATTAACCAGGACGTGGGTTTTAGATGAATTACTCTGCTCCTGGTCAAAACAGCGATTTCAAATTCCACATACTGAATAATACATTTTCTCATTGAGTCGCCCCCGGATTTTTGAAAATCCCAATTTACATCCATTCCCGACAGGCCTTTCTTTTCAGGTCCATAGCAGATGGCTGCTCCTCCAGGAAGCCTTCCAGAACAGGCCCGGCCTGTGGCGAGTCCTACATAGACCCACCAGAGTGAAGGCTTGACTCTCCCCCTCATCGAGGTGCATCTTGTGTTAGAGCTTCTTGTGAATCAGGCCCAGTCTTCTTCCTCAGATCCCCAAATAATAATGCAAACTAGCCCACACTCGCACTGGGACCTGCCCTTGAACCCAGGATGTGCGGACCCCAGTAGTGTGGTTGGTCAGTTGCGAACCCTCCCCACGCCTGCCCTGGGTGCCTCGTGCCCCAGCGGGCTCCTTCCCCCAAGAGGCCTCACCTCTACCCCCGAGAGAGGCCTCCCCGCGCCCACTGGCTTGGATGGGGCCTCTGCATTGTCTGCTCAACAGCACGAGAAAAGACCCAGAGTGACTGAGCAAGAGGCACCTCCCTGCTGTCGGTCCCCTACGTCCAGGATATACATTTCTAAAAGTCCTGCATCGGCCAGGGTGCTCTGGGGACGCAGTGCTGAATGGACGTGTAGAGGAGGGATGTAAGAAGAAATTTGTTACAGGAATTGGCTCATGTGATTATGGCGGCCGAGCGGTCCCCTGATCCACGGTATCATTCAGCCGGAGTCTGAAAGCCCAAGATCCAGGCGGGCCCCCGTCCTGGCTCAAGAACGGGAGTGACCTCACCCTTCCTCCGCCATTCTGTTCTCTGTGGGCCCTGGATGGACTGTTGGTGCCCCTACCCTGGGGAAGGCCACCTCCTCCCCACACAGACACACACCCAGCCCTCTGGGGGTCCCGTGGTCCAACCAAGCTGACAGCAAAAATGAACCATCATAAGCTCACTCTTTCCTGGTGTGGAAACAGGGAGGGTCCGGGTGGCGTAGGTCACAGGACACACAGAAATGAGATGTCAGGCCATTGTACCAGCACTCTTCACAGGGCACCGTCCCCTCTGCCACCCAGATACAGGGCCTACAGGGCCCAGAGTCGCAGGAAAATATCTAGATAAGACACCTTGTCCCATTTTCTCATAAACTAGTCCAGGTTTTGAGTTTTAGAGTCCACAGTGTGGCTGCCAAGCCCCTGTCTTGCTGAACTGCTCAGTTACCCTCTAGAGGGAGCACAGCCCACCTCTCCCAGCCACCGCCCACCCACACAGGAGCGCCCCTGCTCCCCCCGCCCTTGCCCCTGGTTTTCCTCCATGTGGGAAAGCACCCAGGCGCCCCGTTCTGCAAGCTCCTTCTTGCTGATCTACACTGTTTACCATCCTCGGGCTCTCGTCTCCTGCTGCAGATGGCCTCACGCTCAAGGCACTGGCCCCCGCTGTGCCTCTCACCTCCCCCGGTCC